CTTTCCTGAGCTTTTAGATGATGCAAAACTAAGAATATTTGAGATTTGTGCTAATGGATAGCAGATTACAGCAAGCTAGTGCTGTATATTTAATGGCTTTAAGGTAGGAGCAACTCTTTGGGAGGCTCATTGGAAACTAAAAAGAGAAGGAAACCCTTATGTTTGTTGCTTCATAAAGTCAATTTCCAGGATAGCACAGAGTCCTTAAACTTGGTTACAGAAGCCAATAAAGCTGGCTTCCATGTGTTCAGATCTGCTCAATCATAATGGAGGAAAGCCAGCATGATGCAGTGGTTCAAGCTTTGGACTACGACTCTGGAGACCAGGTTCGAACCCTTACTTGGATATGGGAACCCATTGGGTGACCTTGGGTTACTCACACACTCTCAGCCTCAGAGGGAGGCAAGGGCAGACCCCCTCTGAATAAATCTTGCCAAGAAAACCCCAGGATAGGATTGCTGTAGGGTCCCCATAAGTCAGGAATGGCTTTGAGGCACACAGCAACAGTAAGAGAGAGTCTGGCTGCTTCTCCGCTGCAGAAATAATGCAGTTTGACATTGCATTAACTGCCATGGCACAATGCTATGGAGTTCTGGGATCTGTAGTTTGTGTGGCCACAGGGCTTATTGACAACGAAGACTAAATATCTCACAAAACTACAAATCCCAGAATTGCATCACAATGAGCTAGTGAGTCATGCCTTCTCATGATATGACCGAAGTACAACAGCCTCAGTTTCGTCATCTTGTCTTCTAGGGAGGGTCCAAGCTTGATTTCCTCTGGGACCCATTCATTTGTCTTTTTAGCAGTCCACAGCATCTGAAGAAGTCTTCTCCAGCACCAGAATTCAAATGACTTGATTTTCTTCCTATTCACTTTCTTCACTGCCCAACTTTCAAGTGCGTAGGATTTGGGCCATAGTGTTGGGTGGGGGAAGTCTTTCCATTGAACTCCATGCATCACTGAATAGATTTTGGCTGCAATGCCAAGTCTGGCTGGACCCTGCAGGACTTGCTTCTGATGAATAATAAAGCCTGGGACTGCAGTGACAGAACCTGTTTTCTCACCATGAGACTTCTCTGTTTACATCTGTCTCGCCTTTCTTTGCTGGTTACATGACAGACCTCAGCTATTTCTTCCAGTTTTTTCTTTATCACTGGTTTGATCGGGACACAACATTGGAGTTCTGGGGGGAGAGGAATCATGACAGGATGCTTTTGCTACTCCACCCGGTCACAGAGAATAAGAAAGAAAGTTGGAAATTACAACCCATCCAGAGCTGGGATCTCTGCAAAATGTTGGATCTCTCCAAGATCTGACGAACAAGAAAGAGGCACACTTGCAAATCTACACAGCAGCTGTGATGTAGATATTGGGTTATAATATCTCCCTGTAAAAATTCTGCCCCCCCCCATGAAACTTTCCATCAGTCCCCAAATTTCGGGCATTGCAGTAACTTTAAACTTTAACCCAGCATTCAGAAATGCAGTTTAGGCATCCAAAGAACAGGGGCTGGCAAACCGACCAAGGGAATGCAAACACCGCAAAGAGTCCAGGAGATGGACGATTTCCCAAGTCTCGCCCTCTGCAATGCCAGAAATGTGGGGACAGAAGGAGAATTTCGTTGTGGGACAGGATTCTCATACAGAGGCAGTTTTCTCCCCAAGTTATATCTCTGGCAACCAGCATGACAGCCTTGTATGGATCTACATTGTAAAAATAATGTAGTTTGACACCACTTTTAACTGCCATGGCTCCATCCTATGGAACTCTGAGATCTGTCGTTTTGTGGGACAGCAGCACTCTTTGGCATAGAAGGCTTAAGGACTTGTAAAAACTACAAATCCCAGGATTCCATAGGATAGAGCTTCAGCACTTAAAGTGGTGTCAAACTCCACTATTTCTGCAGTGTCAAATCCAACCTTATACAGCTGCTTAAAGGTTTAATTTGACCATTGTTGCAAACTACACACTGCTTAACAAAAAGATGTAGTTTGCAACAATAATTATTATCCTATACTGCAACTATGTAGCTGCTAATATACATGTAGTTTGATATTAACTCCATCAGTGCTTTTGAAGAAGGGGAATGAAACCCATGAAACCTTATGCAAAAACAGATGAGCTAGATCCAAAACACAATGCAGAAATAATCCAGTTTGAGGCCACTTTAACTGCTCTGGCTTAGTGCTAGGGAATCCTGGGAATTGTAGTTTATTGTGGCACCAGAGCTCTGTCACACAAAGCTACAGTTCCTAGAATTCCCTAGCATTGAGACAGGGCAGTTAAAGCAGTGTCAAACTGGATTATTTCTGCAGTGAGTTTTGGGCCTTAGACTACAAGGGTGCTACTAATTCCTCCCCTCCCTTCTCTTTTTCCTTTTTTATGTTGTGAAAACCCCCAAAGAAGCAGAAATCAGGAAGCATCCAATGGAATCCATTGAATGTGGTTTGCATTCAGTTAATTCAGTAGAAAGGAGAGAAAAGGAGGGGACATAATCTTGCCCTTCCCAGTAGGCTCAGGCAAAAGCAAACTGCTGCAATCTCTTGTCGCTCATGTGTTCTTCCTCATTAATCACTTTTATCATCTTGACCAGACTCTGGTATTGCTTGACCACACATGTCCCAGTTTCCATCTACGAAATGTTGGAAGATATGCAGATGCACCTTCAGTTAAGTGTTCGCTTGTGTGTTCAGGTGTGTATTCATTTACCCAACATTGCCATTCAACCCAAGAGTTGTGTAATACCATCAAGGCATAACTCTGCACCTGCAGATCTCTTCTACGCAACTCCAATGCAAGTTTTCAACCCTAGTTTAGCTCCATCTGTGCATGTTTCAGGTTTGTGTGTATCCCCTTGACCCTTCCTCCTCCTGCATGGCAGGTAGACATCAGAAGCATTTTTCAACCAAACGCAACCTAAAGTTGGGTTCAAACTGGGGACCATAGTGAAAATCAGCAACAGTTTGCATTTAGACAAAATGAAAAAAAAAATGGTTGAAAATGGAAGCAAATGTTTATGATCTCAGGGCTGGATTGAAGAGGAAAGGAAAAGGCACCGAAGGGTTGAGCACATGATGTTAAACTGTGGTTTAGGATTAGGTGCGAATGCAGCCCTAGTTTGGCTGGGTCTGAGCATCTTCCTCTGTTTTTCAAAAAGAAAAAAAGAGGGCGTTTTTGGCACGTACCGCCATCTAGCGGGATGGACATATCTATCAATCCCTTCAATTCTGTTTGCCTTCAAAGTGTGGCAAAGTGAGCCTTGTAATTGGAACCATATCTAAGAACATCCCGGCCCATTAAGCGGACAGCATTGCTGAAATAGTTGCGTCTATAAAGGAAACCAAACTGAACTCTGCAATGGTTCAACTTTAGGCTGAATTATCCCACCCCTCCTTCCCCGATCTACCTCTGTCTTCGCTTCAGACAAGTTCAGGAAACGTCCAGTTCATTTTTGGTCCATGTTACTAAATACTAGCAGAGTAAACCCCCCCCCCCACACACACACACACTACTATGGAGTCCCTCCTCAACTCTCTCCTATGATGAGAAATGAATGGATAATGCAGAGGTCATCCAATTTGTCATCTCAGCTCAGCCATGGAAACCTACTAGGACAAATCCTATTCTCTCCACCTTAGAGGCAGGCAATGGAAAACTTCCTCCAAAGAAATCTTGCCAAGAAAACCCCATGGTATGGTTGGCATATCTCAGATCTGACTTGAAGGCACACAGCAACAAATAAATGGGCAAAACCTCAGGCTGAGATTCTGGAATGCCCCACCAGTTGGAAGATATTGGGATCGATGGACAAATCTATCTGAAACTGGTCATTTCCACCCTTGTGCATTTCCTGGAATTGCAATAGAGCTAGCTCTACTAGAGGATTAAATGTTCTGTTAAGTCTCTCTCTGTTTATATGTTTGTGTGTTTAAAAACCAAATAAACTGTTTTGGACTGTTTACTAACCAGCTCCAGAAGGGAAAGGTGTCAAAGAGAAAATGGATGAATCATAGGGCTTGGAAACAAGATTTTCCAGGAACTACAATCCCTAGAACCCTCCACTGTTTACCATATATAGTTTGGAAGTATTGCTTTGCTGGACACCTCTGAGAATACCGGCTCCAGGATTTGGGGAGATGTAGTACAAAAAGAAACTAGACAAGATCCTGAGGTGTAAAGATATATACATTGGGCCCTTGGTATCTGCTGGGGTTTGGTTCCAGGACCCTCCATGGATACCAAAATCCGTGGATGTTCAAGCCCCATTAAATACAATGGATAGTAAAATAGTGTCCCTTATATCAAATGGCAAAATCAAAGTTGTCTTATTGGAATTTATATATTTTTACATTATTTTCAAGCCATGCTTGAATTCGTGGATAAATAATCCATGGATATGGAGGACCAGCTATACTACTTAACTAATAAGTAACTTCTCCTGGTCCGGCTCCCTGCTCCTGCCAAACCTGATGGAAATGTCATTGACTTTTCTGATCACCAGCAAAATGGAGATCCTTCTGCCTACTCAGCTGATACCCCCAAAAAATAGGTTGGGTAGAGGCAGTTGCAATTGTGGCAACAGTGTCACAATCGTGATTCAGGAGTGATTGTGAATATGGAACAGTTACCTACAGTTGTGAAACTATTGCCACAATTGTAACCCTCCCTCCCTCAACCAATTTCACTGGGCATCACTGCATGCAGAGAAGGAAATCCATTTGATTGATTGATGCTGGCCTTTGGCTGTAATAAAGATATTGATTGATTGATTTTATTCCTATTTCTCTGAAGTTGGTGGAGGGACAGGAAATCTGGCCAGGAGAAGTTATACCTAGTTAAGTACAAATATTACAGATGTCTCCATCTTTTTTATATATTTTATAGCCAGTATTCTATATCAATTACTTAGTATACTTAGGAAATGATATACAATATTGGTCATAAGGTATTTAAAAAAATAAGTGGAGATGGTTGGACACCTGTACTATCTCTTTGGAGGCAGTGTGGTGCAGTGGTTTGCACAATGGGCTAGGACTCTAGAGACCTGGGTTCGAGTTCCTGCTCATCCTGTTCCTTGACATAAAATCCCATGATAGGTTTGCTTTAAGTAGTTGGAAACTACCTAAAGGCATACAACAAGAACATCTCTCTAAAGTCCTTGCTTCACCCTGCCACTGATTTGTCTTTCTAGAAGTCCATGGTATCCCTAGAACTCTTCTCCAGCCCCATATTTCAATTGAGTTGCTTTTCTTCCTATCCGCTTTCTTCACTGTCCAGCTTTCACAATCTTATATAGAAATGGTCAGTCTTAGCTTTAGTATTAGTTCTGGGACTCCTTGTGGAAACCAAAATCCGTGGATGCTCAAGTCCCATTAAAAACAGTGACAGAGTAAAATGGTGTCCTGTTTGCAAAATGACAAAATCAAGGTTTGCATTTGGGAATTTATATTTAAAAAAAATATTTTCAAGCTCTGGATGGCTGAATCCATGGATAAAGAATATGGATGGCCAACAGTACACTGGACTAAGTAGGTGATGTACAGTAATACTGGCCTGGGACTTTTTGATCATGGTTTTTTGTTCATGAAATAAGCAGAAGTGGGAAAGATTTCCTATCAGTTACTGAAATCGGCAAATCCACCCCCAGAGAGTCTGTGTGCAAAGAACCAAAGATACTTTTTCACATAAATAAAATGAACATGGGGTTGTTCTGTATATTTAAAAAAGTGTATCAAGTCTTGTTGAGTCAACCCCAGACCCATTTACTCCATTATCCTGTTTCACATATGGATCAAGCAGTTACCTTTGGGAAGCCCAGAAGTAGGACAGGAAGGCTACAGTCCTCTCCAATCTGTCCTTACAAACATATAAGAAATTTGAGCACAAAGAAACTTGTTCTAAAATGAAGACTGGGCATCAATACTTAGGGTTTTAAAAGGAAGTTGCAACATAAGAAGAACCAATTTGGTACTGATGGGAAGGCAATATGGAGAATGTGTGTGTTTTATGGAAAGGTTTGAGCAGGTTTGGAAGAAGGTTAGAGTAAGCAAGAAAAGGATAAGAGGATGTAGGAAAGGATAGTCAAGAAAAAGAGATGTTTCCTCCTATGGAAGATGACTGATGGTCATATTGTCAGAAATGGAGGGGTGGATAAGGAGATTGATAGGGAGTTTTGAGAATGGGGGTTACAAGAAGAATTGGAAGAAGCAGTTTAAGTAGGACATGAGATGAAAGTATGTCAATGGATATTTTGGATTAGGATATCCTGGACTATTACTGGTATGTAAATATGTATATGTATAGGTATGTCTGTGGATATGTTTTGGTTTGTCTGGTGTGAGCTGATGTTTTCGTTCGTGGATAGGTATTAACATTCAAATGTTCAATAAAAATATTCTTTTAAAAACTGTTCTTACAAACCAATGACCATTGCGTATCTTCGGTTGTGGCATTTTCCACTGAAGCAATCTCAACGTAGACCATTCTTCTGTTTCATTAAGAATACAGAAACCTGTTTAATCTTTTATATTTATTCAGCTAGCTCCATTCTGGCAACACAGACTGGCAGAAGAGTCTCAGATAGACAGGGATGCCAGAAATCAAACCAGATGCTTTTGGTATTTTGCAGAATATGGACTCCTTCCCTAGGATGCATTCGAAGGTATGATGCTGCATGACACTCTTTAAGATGATCTATCTCTCTAGCCCAATATTGTCTTCTGTGACTGGCAGCAACCACCTGAAGCCTCAGGTAGAGTCTTATACATCCTGATCCTCCCAACTGGAAATGCCAGGGATTACACCTGAATCTTCTCCAAACAGAGCATACAATCTGTGCCGCTATGGCACATGCATCCATGTTGAGCCAGACCCAAAGTTTTTCTTTTTTGCATTCATGGAAGAGAAGGCAGGAGAAACAGAAACATTAAGAGAAGAGGAGCAGGGGGATGAAGGGCAAATAAATGGAATATTTTTCAGAGCTTGGAAAAGTTGGACTAGTCCAAAAAAGGAATTTTCCCAAGCTCAGATATTTATTCTCTCCTTTCATCCAAAGTCATCTCCCTAACAGCACATGTTTGAGCCCAGTGGGGCAAGATTTGAAGCCAGAACCCCCCCCCCCCAAACAAACAAACAAACAAACACCTGGGAATGGTGTTTCTTTTCAAAGGAAAAGAAAAGCAGGAGCATTGACCAAAACAAATACAACACTGAAGAGTTTTGCAAAGTGCTAATCGCACCCAAGGATTCCTGAAGTTTTTTAAAAATGCCTCCAGGCATCAGTTCATGCCAGGTCCAGTTGGCTTGGTTGAACTGGGATACAATGACTCCCTTTCCCTTTCCAAGGATGGCTGTCAAGGAATGGGTCTGAGAAAGAATGGGTTGAGCAGAAAGGATCAGGTGGAAGGAGGAGAAGAAGGAAGAGGAAAGGAAGAAGAGGAAGACAAAAAGAAGAGAAGAAGGAGAAAGGGGAAAAAGGAAAAGATGAGGAGGAGGAAGGGAAGGAAGAATAAGAAGAAGGGGAAAAGAAGAAGAGGAAGGAAAAGAAGAAGTGAAAGAAACAGAGGAATAATAATAATAATAATAAAGAATAAAAGGAGAGGAAGAATAATAAGAGCAGGCAAAAAGAAGAGAAGAAGGAAGAAGAGGAAGAGGAAGAGGTAAAAGAAGATGAGAAAGAAGAAGAGAAGAAAGGGGAGGAAAAATAATACAAGAAGGGTGAAAGAAGAAGAGGAGGAGGAGGAGGAGGAGGAGGAAAAAGAGAAAGAAAAAGAGGAAGAAGGGGAAGAGGGAAAAGGAGTGAGGGCAGGAAGAATAATAAGAGGAAGGAGAAGGTAAGGAAGACAGAGAAGAAGATGAGGAGGAAGAGAAAGAAGAAAAAGAAGAGGAGGAAGAAGTATAGGAAGAAGTAGAAGAGGAGGGTAAAGAAGAGGAGGAAATGGAAGAGGAAAAAGGGGAAGAAGAAGAGGAGAAGGAAGAAGAAGAAGAAGGGAAGAAGGCAGGGGAGAAGGGAGAAGAAGCAGGCCCTTCTTACAGAGATGCCTCCACAGAAACCTGAGAGGCAGCATAGTGCATCTAAAGCAAAGACCTGGGAAATTCATAATAACAATAACAATAACAATAATAATAATAATAAATCATCTGCTGTGCTTACCTTGCAACCCCAGCAATCCCAGCAGGAGGAGGAACCCAGCCAGAGGTGTGCTGAGTTTTGGGACCATGTTCACCTGCTGCCCAGGTAGATCCCAGAGGCGAAGGAGGAAGACAAGTGCCCCAAAGGATGCCCTCCCTCCTGGGCCGCACACACACCTGGCTGCCCCCCTTGCCAACTGGCCAAGGAAAGAAGGGAAGGAGTCCCAAGCTTTTCCTCCCTTCTCCCTTCCCTTTCTTCTTCTTCTTCTTCTGCAGAAGATTGCAAAAGAACTTCCCTCCCCTCTCTCTGATTTCCTTGTTTGATGCAAATGTTGCCTTTTTGCAATGCTCTCTTTGGGAGTCCTTATAACAACAGCAACAATCTTCTTTCTGGCAGGGGAAAGTTTGGGGAAGTCAGATCAAGCCAAGGGCAGGTTCCACCAAGGGTTTGCCAACAAAAGAGGAGAGAAAATAATTTGCAAAAAAATAATATTTTTTTAAAAAAAAATTGCTGTCCCTTTTGGCAGCCCACTCCTTCTTCCTTTGAAGCGGCTGCTTCTTTGCTGCTTCTCCTGATGCTGGAAAAAGAGCTCAAGAATTGCAAAGGGATGTCAGGGTGGACTACACTTCCCAATTGGCATAAATTTGGGGAGAGGAGGGAAGAGAGGCCCTGGATCCACCTTCCCTGGGAGTCTCTGTCTCAGGATGATGGGATAGCCACTATGACCAGGCTCAAGAGAGTCCCCCAACTCTGCTGCGACTTTGCAAAGTTGTCAAATGGTCCAGGAAAGTCTATTTTCCTTCCCCTCCCTGTCTCTTGCTCTCTCCTCCCTTCCTAGGCGGAGTTGCTTCTCTCTTTTTTGGCTGGGATGTTGGATGCAAGTTTGGAATTCTTTATAGGGAAAAGGAAGGGAGGAAGGAGAAAGAGAGAGAGAGAAAGTGTGGCTGTGTCCACACTGCAGAAGTAATCCAGTTTGACACCACTTTCACTGCCATGGGCTCTGCTATTCTGCTATAAATTCTGGGCTCTGCTATTCTGCTATAAATTCATGGGCTCTGCTATTCTGCTATAAATTCTGGGAATGGTGGCTTGTTGGGGCACCAGAGCAAAGTAGTCAGAGAAATGGGACTAAAGGGAGGAAGGAAGAAAAAGCAAGGGGAGTATGGGATAGTGGTCAGAGCTGGGGACCTTTGGGAACTGGGGCCAAAGACTGGGAAGTTTAATGATAATAATAATAATAATAATAATAATAATAATAATAATAATAATAATACAGAGCCAGCATGGTGTAATGGTTCAGTGTTGAACTAGGACACCAGGAGTCGGATCCCAACTCAGCCATGGAAACCCAGGGCAAGTCACACTCTCTCAGCCTCAGCCTCCTCCATATTTATTGTGGCCTACCTGATGCATTTATCAACCTAAGGAAATTTGCCAGAGGCATGTTTGATTCCCAGCTTGGACATGTAAACCCACTGGGTGATCTTGGGCAAGTCACACACTCTCAGCCTCAGGGGAAGGCAATGGCAAACCTCCTCTGAACCAATCTTGCCAAGAAAATCTCATGATAGGGTTGCTATAAGTTAGAAACGATGTGAAGGCAGAGATCAACAACTACAAGCTGCAGCTTTACTCACACTCTTTCTCTTTCAGCCTAGCCTACCTTGTAGGGTTGTTGTGATGATAACATATAGGAGGGGACCTTGTATTCTTAGTCTCTGGGAATGCTCTTAGTCTGAAACCCTGGAAAGGGCCCCTATCAACCTGTGTAGAGCTGCCTTCCTCTGAGCTGGTATTCTCCAGAAGGGTTGGAATGCAACCCCCATCATCCCCAGACAGCATGTCCAATGGGAGTTGTAGTCTAACACAATTGGAGATTTACTACCTGGAGAAAGCTGGTGTACTGAGCCTGGCAAAGTAATTTCATCGGACTGCAAC